CTTGGTTTACAAACATGTGGCGCAATTATTTCACATCTTGATATTGCATCAAATTATGCTGGTAAGAGATTATATAGATTTTAATTCATTTGAACGATTAATATATAATACATGGGACACTCGAAAAGTTTTTGTCCCTTGACTCTCCCATAAAAGTTATTGTTTGAGTACAAGTGTTCTATGGTAACCTGTATTTATGTTAAGTAATAAGTTTCTAAAGTCAAAAGACTTCTTTTTTTAGGGACAAAGATGAAAATAAAGCATAGAGAGTTGCACTAGTATTTCTTTGGAGGAATAAGAAATAAACTATTACACTTAATTATTTAGACTTCGGAAAGAATTCACACAAGATGAATCAGGCTTCAGACAGCTACTTCAACTAATGTTTGCATCGGAATTAAAAGAAATCTGGCTGTGTCAGCTTCATAGTTCGAAGAACTCCGAGTGTCTTTTTGCTGCATAATATATAAGACAAAATTATTTCAAAACTCATTATCTCAACAAAATATTAAAAAACTGCATGAAAAAGGTATTCCTTTTCAAGAAAATTTCGATAAAAATCAACAGAATTCTATATAATTTCATCGAATATATATGTATATATCTCAAATACATACAAAAATCAAAATTACATAAAAACAGAACATCGTTCTTATGCATTTTTTTTTTTGAATATTTTACGAAGACGATGGGTTTTGAAGTTGTTTTAACTTTTATATAGTCACAGATAAAATGATGTCTCAAGTTCTCCTCTTTTAATTGTTGAAAACCGTAGGTCTCTCGCTTTTGCTGTAGTCCAGCTATTGAGCTTACAGCAAATCCTCTTTCATGCTGGTACGGATATTAACAAAAGAAAAAAAACCAAGTAGTAATTCTATTTCACATCTCGTGTTTTTGTTTTTAATAATAAAACAAAAATAAGTATTTCAATTATTTTATTAGTCAGTAGAAAACTTTATGAAGAAATCGTTATCTGTATATACTTCGTATTTAATACGATTAAAACATGAATGTAGAGAATAAATTTCTTGTAAATCAGTTTTTGTTTCATTTTGATTTAGCTAATCATTTTTAATATAGTTAATATTTTAACTATAGAATGAATCCATAAGTCAAAAACAACCGAAAATAAAAGTCTTTTAAATAACATTAATTTACATCGAGTTGCTGGGCATAATGCTTATCATTCAATGATCATTATTAAATATCATTAGTTTCATAGATTACTGCATTTTTTAGATGTTCAACATGCATTCTTTTTTTCTCTTTGAGGTAAAAATTGAACAAAGGTTTCAGTATAACAAATAAAAAAAATAAAAACTAAAAAAAATAGAATCTTTTATTTTCTTCAAGCATTAGTCGATTCATTTGTATCGTTTTCATGTTCTATTCGATTCCATGATTGTTCTTCACCATTGAATAAAATACAATAAGCAAGACTACCAAAAGCACCAACACCGGCTGATATATTAAATATAAGACGCCAAGCTTTAATCGTTTGCTATAAGTAAACATTCAATCGATATTCATCATAGACTAGAAAAAATAAAAAATCTTACATTATTTTTTGTGATGACTCCAACAACATATGGACCAACAAAACCTGGTATTGTTGCTAATGTATTTGTAATACCAACAAGTGTTCCTAATTACAAAATTTCTTTTCTAATTCAATCAAATCTATATAATCTCTTACCAGCATAATTTGATGCAATATCAAGATGTGAAATAAGTGCACCACATGTTTGTAAACCAAGAAAACCAACAGCAAGAATACAACAAAGAACAGCACGAAATTGATTACATCCCATATAACCAATAGCTACTAAAAATCCACATGTCCCAATAGTACCTCAAATATATATATAAAATAGGACTTGTTTTCTATTTATCGAAAAATTAGTTTTTGTTTTATTTTACCAATAATCGTTTGTGTTTTTCGAAGCCTTGTAATAGAAAATATTTTACGTGCTCGTAGACGATCAACTATTTGACCAACAATAATTGTTATCAAGAATTGCACAAAATAAGGTAAAGCAAAAATAAAACCATTCTTAATAAAAAAAAGATGATGAAATTCAATAAAAATAAACAAATATGAAACCTGTTGTAAATTAAAATTAAGTATAGTAGCAAAATAAGTGGGTAATGATGTTAATAAAGTATAATAAATATAAGTATAACAGATATGCATTATAGCCAGACCATAAACAGGTGAACAGCAAGCAATTTTCTTCCATGGTGTAGTTTGATGCTTTGAAAAAAAATTGAAACGTATATATATATAATATGATGATAAGCTGTTCTGTTAGGAAGTCAGAGTTTCGGATTTTGCAGAAATTCTTCTCATTAACTCGTATAGAAAGTCTTATTTGTATCAATACTCGGTACACTCCATAGTGCTGAGCATTTATTTGCAATAAAGATGTCGAAAATTTGACAGCATTTATGAAGAAACATCGATGAGTCAAAAATGGATCAGAGTAACATCACTTGGTAGTTTTCTTGAGCAATCAGTATTTTACGTTGGGACTTATTGCATACAAGTAATAGTTATCTCAAACGACTACATCTAGTGATGAACAGAACCAATTGTTTTTAGTTCCAGTCCCAGTCTGAAAAATGTATGGTTCTGATTTCACCCTTAGTTAAACATGTACTAGCGAAAAATTCGGTATCATTTTCTAGTAGTGTCAATGAGGTCGAGACATCTTGCACGATCCGCATGATCTCTAATATTTTCCTTTTTGGAGATTTACTATTGTGTTTTAATTGATTCATATTTGGTCTACTGTGTACGTTTATGTTCGACAGCTCTATTATTTATGAAAAAAATGGTTCGTTTTACTATCGAAACTGAAACAGGAAATAATGAAGTGATCGTTACTCAATAGTTTTTGCATAAGTTTTTACAAATCATGAGTCATGAGAATATGACACTTGATGCAAGTTTTACACGACTATAAAAGATATTACTCAGAATGAAAAAGTGTTGGTTTTGATTCCGCCGGGATCGAAACCACAACCATCTTGCCCATATCTGAACTATATTACTTCTAATAGGATTAAAGCAGCTTGCTCAGTACTATATTTCATTGAAAATGCATGCAATAAGCACTGCGAAGTGTATCAATTTTTTTAATATCATTTCGAACTTTTGGGAAAGTTAACGAGATGAATTTGAACCGGGACCGAAACTCATTTGTTTCAGCCTGTTGTTTTTCTCTTTGCATACTCTCGGTGGGCGTGGTGGTATATGTTTATTGAGAAAAAGACGTTCTTTGTTTGAAATACGTGGATGTTCATTTGGAGAATTAAAACCAAAAAAACACCAACATATAAAC